CTCTGATCAAATGAAAAGAAATCGGTTATACATTGTATTTAAGAGATTCCTCATTTTCCATTCGGTTTAGGGGAACTCAATAAAATTGGCCCAAAAAAGGACAAAATTGCATTAAGAATTTTGTAGTCGAAATTGATGGCATGTTCTCGTTATGTTCATGTGTCATTTTCTCTCATTCATTGTTATAATGTGGTTCATTTTCTTTCACCTTGATGCTATAGTTCATCAGACCAATATCAAAAGCCAATAGTTTTGTACTTGTGACTACAGTTTTTTGACAAAATCTGCTGTAATGACCCAGAATCAGGATTATGTTCCTATAAAATGCATAGCCAAAACACCACCGCAGTTGAAGGGGTTAAAAGGAGGACAGGTATGGTTGAATTAGCATATGAAAATCATTTCGTTGGTAGCTTTGTTCTCCAGACAACTACTCAGACAGCTTGTTCCATCTCATCGCATCATGGCTCTCCCAAAGTGCCACACGAGTTTTCATCGCCTGCAACACCAGAACTTCCATTCGATCGGTTCGAATTCGAGTGAGGGGCATTAGTTGAATGGGGGCTTCCACGTGAGTACCGGTTCTGTGCAGCAGTACTACTTCTTGTTGCCTTGAGCCGGGCCTTTCTACCCTGACAGTATTGTATTTACACACAAAAACATGTTAGTATCCACCGGAGAAAAAATAAAATTACATCTGACAATACAGACATGGCTTGTTTGATAGGGCAGATTGTGCTGGGTTGGACAATATTAAGAAAGAAAAAGAAGCTTAAATCTCGTTCATTGTACAGTGCAGTCATGTCTAAAATTGTACACCAAACATTGGCACAGGATAAAAAGGCCATAAATTACAAGATTCATGCTTCAGAAGAGAGTTGATTTGATGACAAATGAGAATGGGAGGAAAGAGTATTACCTTACCCATGCACTTCTCCAAATGAGGAGCAAACCGGCCAGCCATTATAGATCTGCCACAATTCATGCACTCAAGGATTTCATTCGCTACTGGAGGATGAGTTTGCCCAAATATATCGACAATATATTTGCCATTGGTTTCACCACTATGACTAGGATCAGATGCCCTGGCCCGGGCTTCTGCAGACAACCTTAATTCCTCTTCCTCTTCATCCAAGTTACGATCAAGTCCTAACCTTGCAATCCGGTGTGCCTCTGATGCAACATCAACAATAATAGAATCGAGAAGATCTCCAAAAATATCAGATGATAGCTGCAAAGGCAAACCGAAGTACAGGCAAATTTCTATTAGATTCTCCCTCTATCCCATAAACATGTGACCACAGACACCCATGACGGAGAAAAGCATGTGAATGACACATCATAAAATATACTTTGAGTTATAACATGGTAACAAACATTTCGTCTGTGTTTACTTGCGCTTGGATATGGGTAAGTACGTTCAAATGTTGGGCAAAAAAAAAAAAAGGAAGGGAACTGTGAATATATTGATATACAGCATATCAAATATTTTAATTGTTTTCTCAATCTATGTAAAATTATCCATTCAAATGCAACCAAGATGAGCATTTAAATTTAAATTAAACAATCATATAACAAATTAAACATATTTGGCAGACTTTCTAAACTTGTACACTAAAAAATATTAAACAAGCATCTGAGTGTTGGGTCCATGACACGTACTTCATGCATACAGAGAAGTCCAAGTTACACAGTATTTGATACTAATGATTTATACACATAATAATAGCTAAATGTCAAACCTGCATAAAAAAAGAAAGAACCTGGACACCACTAAAGTAAAGGAAAGGAAGATAAGATCCAACTTAGAAAGTGCACTTTTTAATCCAACGACAAAACAGAAAGAATGTGCATTCTTCTTCAATTAAAAGTAAAGAAGGTTGACCGTAAAAATAGAAAGGCCATCCATATGATTAGTATATAAACATACAGGAAGACACCACACACAAACAACAGGCACAAAAACATACAATTGAAAAGGTATTTTTGTACTACAGGCTCGTGAATTGATATGAACATTTTAGAAAAATTTCCCATGTGCAAACAGTCTACTAGCATTTGTAACAAGTGATGCTCAAAGTTTTCTCTTTTCATGCAAGAAGTTAAAAGAACAATTGAGTCAACCATTTGGTAGAACCAAGAAATGAATCTTTCTCCGCATAGCTACAATCTCTTGAAACAAATTATAAAAGAACCACACTGACAAACAAAAGTAAAATTCATGAGCAGAACGGACAATTACCTGTGAGTTAGAAGACACATTGTCCTCCGTTGGTGTTAACATGAGTAAAATAACAGAGATTCAAAGCTTAATTAAGTTTGCACCCTCCGAAAGCTTTCAACTGGTAGAAAAATAACCTGGTGAGGTAGGAAAAAGGGATCGAAAGCCAATTAAGCAATAGAAACAAAATATCAACATAAAAGTTTCCACCAAATAATAATAATCATCATCATCATCTACAATTTCGAAAATTGTCACTATTCTCTAAACTCTCATTATAAGTTGACATCAGTACCTAAATAACGAGCATCGATTGGATTTATTCCTTAAAACTAAAGAATTACATCAAAACTCGTGGTATTGAATATAAACATAAACCTATTACCTCCATTTAATTCTAGACAATTAGGATCGTAGCTAAATTAGAACCCTAGCTTCAATTTCTTACTTTAACCATCTGAATTAAGAAAAATTGCAATAACAATCAAATTTCGTGATCCGCCGTAAATGTAATGTAATTAAAATAGATTTTAACAAAAATACAAAAGTGGACACCATACTTTGTACAAGAAAATTCAGATAATCGATTGAGATTTTTATTTTT